AATGATGACAACAGGAAGGCTACTCTTAAGGAAGCCCAGGCTTCCTTAAAACCTGGCAAACTCACAGGATAGCAAAATCTTTAACACCCGGCTATGATGCAATGTTGCATACGTCATCTTTCGGTTTACTCAAGACTGTGTCGTGGGCGCAGCAGTCTTAGTGGAGTTGTCCAGACTTCTCCCCAAATACTTCCTTCTGCTACTCTGGGGGAAACCTGAGGCGTTTCAGGTTAGCAGAGAACTCTAGAACTGACTTCCACCACCCCAGTGAGCCACTGGCACTGCCTTCAGTTAGCCGGGCCAGTAAGGTTCAATACTCTCTGGTCTAAATCAGACCGAATCAATCAACACTGGCGGTGGGCCCACAATGCAGCAGTTTCCTGTAACCATAACAGTCAAGATTGCTGCCACAACAGAGCAATGTTTTAATGATGCCCTTTTATTAAACCAGCTTTCTATATTTTTAAAATTGCAACAAGAATTTGCTGGTTTTGCCTCTCATTTGCAGTTATGAATGGTTCTACACTATTTTTGCTAACACTATTATGTTATTCTCACCTTCTAAATCTGGCGCTAACTTGTCCTTTCAGACTAATCTGGCATGTACAAGGTTAAAATGATTCTGCCTGGCCAGGTTAGTCCCTGATTGGCGGAGAGGCTTGTCAGCAACATCAGCCTGACACTACCTTAGGTTCCCAGGGGGGCTCTCACCTTCTCTTCAAGCCTTGGCACCACAGAGGTTTTGACAACCTCTGTAGCTACATTTACATGGACACAGGTGTCTTGATTGATATCTTGATTGAAGGCCTGATCAGCTCAAAAATGTTCTAAATCAGATCTTGGAAATTTTGGGCATGTAAGCTTGTCATTGAGTCTGGATGTTAAAACACCATGTCGACTAGGAAAGGCTTAGTAGCAGGTTTAGGGAAAACCTCAAAATGTTTTTTTCCACCATCTGACAATGTCCTTGATTGGCTGCTGTCCAGCCCTACTGTGTAAAGAGTCAGTGAAGCACGGCTCCCATCCTTTGGACAGTTTACCCTAATGTCTTTGAGGCCAACCAATATTCTTTCTCAAATCCCTCACCAAACTCCTCACAGCCTTGAGTTTTTATATTGAATATCCTTTTTAATGGTCTTTTTTCACATTTTTTGAGAAAGTGGATATTTTACTTTTCTCTGTTGTGACCATTAGGATTTAGATATTAAAACAGTTCAGTTATTTATATATTTGTGTGTGTGTGTGTGCAATGAATAGATATAACTACTCTCTGGGTTTTGACAGCGTGGCATGACATTTTCTTTTCTTTATCGTGCACTATGGTTGTAGAATTATTTAAAACAAAATAAGAATTGACTAAAACTCTCAAAGTAAAAAATAATAACACCCAGTAATGTGATAAAAGTGGATTTAATTTGTGTAACACTGATGTTGGCAAGGTTCCTTTTTATAAAAAAAAAGTTTGTCGTAACTTTTGAATCAAATAAACACCTAGAAAATCTTTTTTTCATTTGTTGCATTCAATTGTTGAAATAAACCGAGTATTGGATGATATTTAAATTCATTAAGTAAGTAAAGTCATAAGTAAATGAAAGAAAATCCTGATAATCATGTAACATTTTGATAAAATGATTTGAGAGAAAAAAAACAAAAAACAAACACACTTAAAATATTTCCCTTTTTAAAAGTTACATTACTACCTTGATTTTCTTTCATTTACAACTGAAAGAATTTAAATATCATCCAATACTTTTTTCAACAATTGAATGCAACAAATGAAAATAAGATTTTCTATTTGTTTATTTGTATTTATTTGATTCAAAAGTATTGTGGTAAAAAAACATACTTTTTTCTTTTTTTAATAAAAGCAGCCTTGCCAACATCAGTGTTACACAAATTAAATCCACTTTTATCACATTAATGGCCTTTATCATTTTTTTCTCTTAGAGTTATAGTCTATTCTTATTTTGTTTTTAATTATTCTACAACCATAGTGCATGATAAAGAAAAAAAAAATCCAGATAATCATATAAAATTTAAAAGGGAATCTTTTAAGTGAGCCAATGTGTGGTTTTTGAAATTATCTCTCAAAAATATTTTATTTAGATAAATCTTTAAACTCCAAGGGAGGAAATTCCGAGAAACTTTGTATGTGATTTATTTATTTATTTTTTACTTTTTAAGCAACATCCTCCTCTAGTGGTTTAAAATGAAACTACAGGACTATGAGCAGATAATAGTTGTGTGACCTGAAGAATAATTTGCTGAAATATTTCGGGGAAATATTTCAACGAAAAGAGAAACTTCTCTTTTAATACTGGTAGAATTATTTAATGAGTGAAATTTTACTGAATCAGCATCAATTCATTAGTAGTCATAACCTTCAGTCTTGTCCTCTGTTTACCATAAACTGTGTCACTGTTGAATTATTTTATTTTTTCATCATGGTGGGTAAAGGAAGACCCTCAAAGTGCAGTGTCTCATGTTAGTTGAGATCTTACACTTCATGACAAGATGGCACAATGATGATGCAATGCCCATACACGCCCCCTGCCTCCGCACTGTTTGCCCAACAATCAGCACTGTGCCAAAGGGCCACCAATGGCATACTTCATCATTGCATATTCTGAAAGGGACTCACACCACCAGCCCCCCACTCCTTGGGGTTTTTGTTCTCCACTCTTTTTCTTTTCATTCCCCCATTAATTTCCATCGTCACCATTCTCACTGATGCCAGAGCTTTTTCACCGTGCTAGCTGCCACATTCTCCTCCTGTCAAGTTGCCTGGAGGTTTCCCTGTCACGGACTGGCAGGGTGGAGCTGCTGTGGGTCCTGCCTGCCTTTGCGAGATGTTCATTTGGAGTGGGGAGCTGACAGGCCTGACAGCCCATCCCCACAGGGCCTTTGTCATGTGATTCAAGCCTCCCCGCAGGCTCTCTCAAGCACCCCTTTATTCCCCCTCTATACAAATGAAGGCATGGGGCTGGCTTTCATTTTTTTGGCCAATCTGCGTGCAATTGCAGAAACAAAGAAGTCCGATACCCCCACCCCGCTCCCAGACGGACTTTCTTAACAGGCTTGGGAGATTAACACTGGTTGCTTCTCGATTTTGGGGTTCTGGTCGCCTCATGCTGGCGAGTGTTTCTACTCTTTTGACAATTAAACGGCTACTTTCCTGGTTTCGCCATGTGTGGGGTACACGTCCTGCACACAAAATGACAGTGCTCACATAATTATCATGGGGGAAGGGGGTGTATTTCCCTACACACAGTGAATGCACATGCTTAATAATGTTTGCTTTAGTAAAATCTCTTGTATTATTAAATCGGAGATTATGAAATCATTTCTCAATGCCATAATGAGTTTTGTTGTAATATTATTAATTTCAGCTACAAGTGATCCTTATGTGAAGTTCAAACTTGAAGGAAAGCAGTTCTATAAAAGTAAAGTGGTTTACAAGGACCTCAATCCACGATGGAACGAGTCCTTCTCTCATCCTCTTCGAGACAAAGACCACGATGTGGAACTTCGGGTAGGGTTCATTCATTCAACACTTAAAGAACATTAGAATAGTTTCCCTAATTAGTTGAAGAAAAGTTAAAGCTGGTAACATTAGAAATTTTTGGAGACTATATTTAATAAATTATATTGCTGCAGGTCTACGATAAAAATCTCACAGCTGATGACTTCATGGGTTCTGCCTCTATTTCTCTGAGAAACCTTGAGTTGCACAAGTGAGTACTTGATAAACACACTTTCGATGCATTTCACGATTCAATTAAAATCCATTAGTGACCACTGGATTTAATACTGTCCTCCGCTAGAACACATGAGCTGGAGCTGCGGCTTGAGGACCCTAAGAGCAAAGAATCCGACATGGGAGTCATCATTGTCGAAGTCCGCTTGATGTTCCGAGATGCCACAGTGAAAAGAGGCCCTGTATGTAACACATCTGTTATTTTAACCCGTTTACTCTCAGAGCATATTCTCTTACTAATGAATGCTTTTCTTTTCATTTTAGAGATTCCGTCCAAAAAAGAAAGTAAGTACTTGCATATCTATATTTTTTTATGCAAAAAAAAACATATATATATCCAGAATGCAATCATTGTAGCATTCATTAATTGAAAATTTTCTTTGATATAAGTTATTTTTTCAAACAAAAACACCACTAGGGGGCACTAGCTCACTGTGAAATAGCAAAACAAAGAATTATGGGTATGTTGTGGATCCCTTTTGTGTGTAACCCCAGGACAGCCAGAGCTTTCAGAAGATGTTTGATTAACTTCTTTCATAATTCATATTTTCTATATAAGTGTTTTAGAAATGTAACAGAATCTCAATATATCCAAACCAGAATTTTTTACTGTGAAATTGTCAATTTGTAAAAAAAACAAAAAAAACACAATAATAATTATACCATTGGAGTATTTTGTTTAGTAGTAAACAAAGTTTCATTTCCCCCTGAAGTGTTTTCTGCTATGCTGCGGCTGTAATTACATTCAGAGTGAAATTGGAGGGTTGCTGCTTGGGACTCGCTCTGCAGCGAGTGGGTTTATCTTCACACCTATGCTGTCACTACATCTGCCACTGTTCAGTCTCTTGATGGTCCAGCAGACAATCTCAATTTGAAATGAGATGACAAAGAAATGAATGCCATTTTCCTTCAGCGTTGTCGGTTATCCGTTACAGATGGTTAAAGATACTCAAAGGGAGGCAGAAATGTGCAGTGGGACTATACACAATGTTCTGCCTGCTTAAATCAGACTGCTAATTTAAGAATGTAACGATGCTTTTTTTGTTTTTCCCTCTCCCAATTTTTTTTTTTCCTCTTTGAGAAACCTACAGTATCTTTTTTTTTTTTTTTTGCGTTTAACACCTTTTTTGGTCTTACAGCTCAGCTCCCCTTGCTTTGGAACATCGTTTTCTCCCTCTGTGATACCACAGAGACCGGGAATGGCAAGTGCCTGACTAAAACTCTGCTGTGTGATAGTGTTTCAAACAGGAGGGGGCGTGTGGGAGAAGCGGAGAAGCGAAGGGTGGGTGGTGGTGTGCTCAGACTGTTCGAGGCACGTTGCCAGTGTGGGATGCCTAAGATCGGCAGGGCTGATAATTCCCAGGCATGGTGGGCAATAACCCAGATGTTAGAATGTAATATCACAGCTGTGGACGGACAGTGCTGAGGTACCAGCCAAATGGACCAGGGTCTGAGCTCATCATACTTGTCCCCATGCTGTCCCACCATATGGAAGCAATCGTGCAACCCTTTTAGGACCAGGAATAGATTCTCTTTAGGGGCCACTTATAGTTAAGTGGAATTGTTTTATTGGCCGCTGAGATAGAAATGTGTCCAAGATAAACACTCGGGATGACTTGGCTGAGGCCTGTTTTATATCGCTCCCTCTACTCCCTCTTGTTCCTCTTCTTTTGAAGGGGCTGATATTTATAGGGCTGTGCCTGTGGTATTCCATGTTAATTCAGGTCCCTGAGATATGCTTTGATCCCCTCCGGATTGGGTGGCAATGTGGGTTATGACCCCATAGCGATGAGGAGCGGCCCCCCCTGAGTGGCAGGGGGAGTTGCAGCAAGGCCGTTTGAAGCGGCGTCGCCCGGACAGCCGAAGGAGTGAGGCAATCAAAGAGGCTGGAGCAGATTACGCTCCTGCTCTTTAATTACAGTCAGCTCTACACAACCTCTGTGCTGTTTGTTTTTACAGCCCTGGCCTATCACCGCACGGCCTCACGGGAACTCCAACATGGAAACACATCAAGGCCTCTCTTCCTCTCTGCTTCCTCTGCTTCACACAGCAAAAACAGTCATCGCTGTTTTGTCTATTAGTTTATTTATTTGCTGATGCTTCTGAAAACAATTTTTTAGTATTGCAGCATCCATCCATTCATCCATCCATTTTTATACGAAAATTTGCCTTTTCTATATGTTGTGGACTTACAAAATGTAGAAAAGTGTTTTGACCCTGTTATTAATTTAAAGCGGATATCTTGGTCAGTTTGCAGTGGACTCTAATGCCGTCCATACATACTGCATGTATGCATAATTTGCTGATGAGAGAGCTGTGCGGTTAGCGTCATTACTCACGGCTGCCTGCTGTCTCTGCTGCAGTATGCCAAGTGTCCTGCCTCCCCACACTCAGTCTGGGAGGCAGTGATGAGTGGGACTGTCACAGCCAGGGACATCTGGCTGTTTGCTGACGGTCCTCTCTTCCTGCCTTTCCAGGAGCCTCCATGGTGTGTGCCTTGCTTGTCAGTAGAGATGTGCTAATGTGCTCCAATAGAGCTAGCCCTGTATAATGTAAACCTTTGTCCTACTTTCATGCACACAGTTGACACGATAGGGTGTTGTTTTAAAGCAGTAGGATGTATGAATAAGTAAATAAATGAAATACCCTCTAAGACACATTTATTAAAGATGTGAAAAATCTGTAACATGAAAGAACTATTTTTTGTATTGAACACTTTCTGATTATTTAACTATTTCAGTTAGATCATTATCATTTTTGAAAATCAAAAAAAAAAAAAAAAAGTTTTAAGTTTTGAAATGGAGAAATATGATGCTCTGCTTCCTAATAAGGCTGGCTAGAAAAACTTGACCAGAGATCATCAGGCTTAACACTGAGCAAGAAGGGCTTTCCCTCATATTCTTTCTCTGTATTGTGCCAAATCCAACAAAATAAATATTCACTCTTAAAAATAAATAGTTTTGATTATTTATTTATTTTTTCCTGATAGAAGTTTGGGAAAAGATTTTATTAGATCACTCTCAAACCACGATTCGTTATGTAGATGTGTTATGAGAGACTTGGTGAGGTCAAGATGAGCTCTAAAGTTTAACTTACATTTAAACTTTTACTTCTCTATTTCTCAATGTGTGTGGTGCCACATAGCTATCGGTCCCAACCTGCCTTTTTACCAGTGGCTAAGGGCAATTAGCATCTGTGTTGTTTTATACCCCTGTGGAACAGATGATTTGCAAATGACTTCTTAGCATAGTTTACATCTTTTGATATGTTTGTCCTAGAACTAAGTTTAGGTATTGCTAAACAGCAAACAACTACTTGTACTGCAATAAATACTTTTTTTGATGGTCTATAACATACTTTTTGATGTTCGTTGTTTTAAAGCAGGAGAAAATGTTATAGTTTGGCGATTTAATTGTTTTGTTAAAGAGCAGCAATGATACATTTTTCTGCATCATTGTATAGTTGTCAGAAACTAAGCCACAGGTCATTTTGTGAAATACATTTTATAAAGGTAATTAGGCAATGAGTTTGTGTTTTGGAGAAACTGGCACTTTTGTGTTTGTAACGTTAGCATTTTGCCTGCAGCTGCTTTTTATGCTCCTTTGTATATTTTTCTGCAGACTATTTTTGCATTCAAATTCTCTTATCTCTATGAAACTTCATTATATTTTCGTATGACATTATATAGATTTATTTACTTATGAAAAGCACAAAATAATCAAAAATTAGGCATATATTTGAGAAAGGATGAGGAGCCAACATGTCTGTCTGTTGTGTAAATCTTTTGGTGAAAGCGCATTTTAAGCTGCTGTTTCTTTTTTGAGTTTTACAATGGTTTATTCTTAGGTTAGCCTTGAAAATGTTTTAAGCACCAATTAGAGTTCTGGGTTTTGTTGCTAGTTCATACAAGGAATTTTGTTTTCAAAATTTGATCCATTTATTTGTTAAACCAAGCACTCCAAGTCAGGGTTCCTCAATTCCAGTCCTCAAGGTCCAGTGTCATGCACCTTTCAGATGTGTCTCTCCTTCCACACACCTGAATCGAATGCCTGAGTTTCCTCCTCACTATGCAGCCAAGTTCTCTAGAGTCCTTCTAATGGCCTGAATATCTGACTCTGGTTTGTTGAAGCAGAGAAACTTGATCTCCAAGGCTGAAATTGAGGAATCCTGCGATAAGTAATCTGCTGCTTTCTAAAGCTTGTTGCCCTGTCATAGTTCCTGATATGATGTTAAGCATTAACTGGTTTTCCTACAGTGAATAAATGTATTAAGATAGGTTGGGCTCTCTTAAACCTATAATAAAAACATGCTACAAAAGGATATTTATTTCAAGGCTTTTTACACATGTGTTATCTTTGACCAACAGCAGCAAAACCAGAACCAAACTCCACGCACATCGGACCTACCAAAGAATAATCTGAAGAACCAAGTGTGGTCCGGTGTATTTCACATCACCCTGGTGGAGGGACAAGACCTGCCACAGTATGGCCAGGGTGACGTCTATGTCCGCTTTCGCCTCGGTGATCAGAAATACAAAAGCAAGGTTTGCCTGTTGTTTTTTTATTTTATTATTTTTCTCCTTCCACCATCCTCCCCCTTTTTCTTTTACTTCTCTAGCTTTTCTCTTCTCTATACTTCCCAGCTCCTCTTCCTCAGCAGGTGCCCATCAGTGACTCACCTCCACCTTGGCTCACTGGGCCATTGCAGAGGGAGCTCATTAGACCGGGCACGGCTGCCACTCACTTCGCAGTGTGCTACAAAGTGCTGGGCTTCATTGCCTTCATTTACATACCCAGCATGCCCTATTCGTCTTACCTGTGTTTGTTGTTGCCACCCTACCACCGACCCTCCCACCCCCTACCCCCCCAAGACAATTCTACGGTGTACTCGTCTCATGTTGCCATGTCATTTCTTTGTAAACCACTCCGCTTTCCTCTCTGCTTGTTTGTTTGTTGAACAAAGCTGATTCTAATTGGAAGCTGTCAGTGTTTACAATCCCAGAGTGGCAACCGAGGTGTACCCGTACAAGCGCTCACAACTCAATACACACGCACACACACACACCCCTTCTTTCTCTTGCTTTATTCGGTTTAGGCTGAACAAAGACTTTGTCCCTGTGTCAAAAGGGAGATAACTTGGTGTAATAAAGCATTAAACCAGGCATGCCATCAAAGTGTATACATCTGCATGATTTGTTATTGTATGCGCTAAAAATGGGTCTTTGCCTTGCTTTAGAACCTTTGCATTCAACCGAATCCCCAATGGAGAGAGCAGTTTGACTTCAATCAATTTCAAGACAACCAGGAACCTCTGCAGGTGGAGGTGCTCTCAAAGAGAGGGCGGAAAGGGACAGAATCATGGGGAATGTGAGTATTGCCTCGTTGATCCTGGTAATTTTGCACTAGTTCTACTTTGTTAGGAGTTTGTGAAGGGCATAAAAATGAAAATTCTCAAATGTAAAAATTTAGTCAAAAATACAAAGGGTTATATAACCCATTGTGGGAAAAACACTGTTTTTCAGAGATGATAATACAAAGTAGTAAGACACAAGTTACAGCACACAAAGATAGCTTTTTGCATCTGCCCCCTAAACCCAAACCTTCTTTAAGCCTCATTAGGTGCCAGTTTGTTAAGTCTCAAAGCTATTGTACTCTGACCAAATTTCCCCTGGCCACTTTAAAGGGCCAAATCCCCAAACAAATCTCTTGATTCACTAGAAATTGGAACTGAAGCTTTCAAAATCAACACATTTATCTTTGTGGACCATTTTAAGCATTGATGCCCGAGTCTGGTGTTTCAAGCGATTTATCCTTCAGCAACTTTTCACTGTTTAACAGCTTACCTGCTTCCTGCTGTTTTCCATCCTATATTTCCTGTTGTGCTTCAGGTTTGAGGTTGATGTGCTGAGGCTTCATTTAAATGAAAGGCAGCTCTACACTCACGTGTTGGATCCTGGCAAAGGCAAGCTGGTCTTCCTGGTCACCCTCAGACCCTGTTGGGGTGTCTCCATCACTGACGCTGATAACCCCACCTTATCCAATCAAGATGAGAAAGATGCAGTGATTGAAAGATTTGTATGTTTTTACCTTTTTAATATTGACCTTAAGCAGCGATGACACCTCCTTTAAAAAGAAACATATTACCTATTTTCCGTCTTCTTTTATTTATGTCTCACTATTTTTTCAGAGTTTGAAAAACTCCCACAAATGTTTGCAAGATGTTGGGTTCCTTCAGGTCAGCGTGCTGAAAGCAAATGATCTTCCAGCCACAGACATCAATGGTAATAACCCATTTAGTTTTTTTTTTCATTTACTGTACTCATATTAATGGCCTCATTTTTACATTATACAATGAAATGTATTTTTATGTCCACAGGAAAAACCAACTCCTTCTGTGTTATCGAACTAGGAAACTGCAAACTTCAAACTCACACTGTTTACAGGACAGTCAATCCGGAGTGGAACAAGACCTTTACATTGTAAGATGACCTAAGTAAATCCAGTAAGCTGCGTTTTTAGTTCATGTATATTAATCTGTGTTTTTAAAGCCCTATAAAGGACATTCATGATGTAGTGGAGGTGAATGTCTTTGATGAAAACGGTGACAAATCCCCAAACCTTTTGGGAAAACTAGCAATCCCTTTACTGACGGTAAGTTTTTGAAATTTTCTACATAAAAAAAAAAGAAAATCTCTCTACTAACCATTACCTGTATTTGAAAATTCTTTTAGGTTCAAAACGGTCAGCAGATCTGTCTGCTCCTGAAGAAAGAAGACCTGGGAAGAACTGCTAAAGGAACCATCACACTGGTGCTGGAGGTTATTTTTAACAAAGTAAGGACTTTATTGAATGTGTTTAAATTTGCAAAGGCTAGTTACAGTTTCAAAGAAATCACAATGTTTTTAAAAGTAATGGTTTTTATTGTCTGTCCTACTGTTCTTTTGACTATTTATTTTTAATTGAATCAGATTTAAGCCAAAGTGCTGTAACTACGACTTCCTCTGCATGATGAATATCGAGTTAGGCAGTTCTGCCCTGTCCGTATCTATTCCTGCATATTGCAAAAAAATGCTCAGTTGTCATGCAGAGACTAAGGAAGTGTCACCAATTACTCCAAATATGTCATTCTTTTTTAACCCTCCAGTTAGCCGGCCAGGAGCATTTTTGTTAAGCAGGAACTGCAGGCTGTCTACTAGAGCAGATGGACAGACTAATGGACCTGCTTACAGTATATTTGCTGGATTACTTGTGTTATGTTATAAATAACTGAATGACAGACAAATATAATACTCCCTGCAGTACGAAATTGATAGGTGCTATTAAATTAATTACATTTATCTTTAGTTGAAGTTTAAGAATAAGAAGTATGAATATAAGTTATTGAAAAAAAAAAAGTATTACAGAATGCGTAGGGAAGACAAAAGATAAATAAAATCATTGGTATATGGAATTAAATCCGTTTATAATTAATTGAAATCAATCTTACAACAAAGCTGTCCCTTCTAGATAATTATCATTATCAAGCTAAATAAGAAGGGAGGTGGCTCTACAGTATATTGTTGAGGATTTAAAACTTATTTTAAATTAATGCTCAAAGGTATAGTGGAGGATTTTCACAAATTTTTCAAAACTTTAAAATAAAAAATGCACATTCACAACACATTCACCGCTCCCAAGACAGAATGCCTATTAAACGCTTATGAGAGCATGCGCCGGGCCCATTTCTTGTATGAGCGATACAAAGTTGGTCTTTGTATCGCTCATACATACATCTTTGTATCAAAGGAAGATTTTCAATTTTTCCACTATGTCAGACTCACCACTGGTAAGTGAAAATGGGGACGACCACGTAGGACGGCCTTACGTAAACATATCACCAGAATTTGGAGGACCACTTATTTTTAAAAAGAAAATGCTCCACTGTACCTTTAAGTAAAAAGCAGAAATTAAAAAAAAATTTCACTTATAATTTTTGTTTTGTTTTATCAACAAAAGGGGGGACTAATGCAAACGATGCATAAACATTCAAATTCCAACTTAGAAACTACTTTAGAACAAAATAATGAATATTCATTGAGGAATGGGACTTTGAGGCCTGATACTGGACTTTTATACTAAAATCTAAGTGGTAAAATTACTCTAGATGGTGGGATAGGGATAACCATTCTTGGGGTCACCTGCATGGTCAGCAATCATTATTTGCACCAGAAACAATCTGTTTCCGGTTCATCTGTTGTGGAACCAGCGGGGATCTCTGTGGACGTGTTGCTTTTCAGAGCAACACGTCCACAGATTTTGGGATCTGCTCAGGGATAAAGGGTAGCACCTTTCCTTCTGACTCAGGAAATCTCATGTCTTCATGGTCTCACTATTACCTTCTTACTACTGAACTATATGCAAATGCTGAAGGACACGTAACTCAAATTAACCTACTGGGTTAAGCTCAGTGCCACTGTACAGTAAGAAAGATTTTGCATAACCTAAAGTTAGAATGCCGACAAACATGACAATTAATGCAGACAAACTTCATCATAAACCTTCTGGATGCAAACATGTTTCTTCTTGGTGTCAAAGAGTCAACTAAGTTATGTAAAACTATGATTGATTAATAAAAAAAAACAAAAACAATTCCTTTAGAGGGAAAGCTTTATAGTGAAAGATTGAAAGTTTAATTATATATTTTCTAACAATTTTGATTTTTTTTTTTATATTTTTTCATAACTCTAAGCATTATAATTATATTATTCTGTTGACAACATAGAATTCTTTGGCTTTTATGTATAAGGGAGCTATTAAGAATCTGCTTTGACTAAATAAATGATCCTAAGAGGCCATTTTTCCTTAGAAAACTGTTCTGTTGGTTAAATTTTACACCTGAGGAGTTTATAATGTGTTGTATTTTCATGCAGTAAAAATAACCATTCTCTCTTTTGAATAAGTAATTATAACACGTATATTATTGCACAACCTTTTACTGGAAGACTGTGGTATATTTGTCATGATATTGATTTATGGTCCTTAATTGTAGTGAGATATTATGATGTAATGGGGGAGTTGGTAGCCTGGTGGTTGGGGCATTGCGCTTGGAATCCAGAGTTTCTGAGTTCAAGCCCCACTCCCACAGACTGCCACTCTGTGTCCCCGAGCAAGACCCTTAACCTCACACTGCTCCCCGGCAACCCTCTGCTCCCCAAGGGAATGGGTGAAATACCGAGATTAATTTTGCTTCTCTGTACTTGTGACACTGTAATGACAACAAAAGCTGAAAAAAATATTTGTATGTGTATATATATATATATATATATATATATATATATATATATATATATCAAGTTGAAACAGTGATTTTTTTTCTGGTCCTAGGTCGGAGCTGGTGTCAAAACCTTCCAACCAAAAGGGGCAAAACTAATTGAGGAAAACTCCAAGTTCAACAAGAAGGTGATCTGCCTGTTTGTTTTTTAAATTAACAAGTTTAACCAAAACTATAAATACATCTCACAACTTGCTTGAATTGTCTTGCCAATGAAATGTGCTATATAAATAAACTTGACTTGCCTTGATAATGTTTGGATGGAATTATTCACTAGTTGCAGATAAGCTAAATTTTTGACCATCTTAATCACTAAAGTTAATTTAACCTAATTTTGAGATCCACAGCATAATGTCCATTAAAATACAATCCTAACGACTGTTTTCTTCCAATAATTTCTTTTTCAGATCCTTGCCAGGAATATATATCGGGTGCGAAAAATCAGCACAGCAGTTCTGTACACGTTACAGTACATTAAAAGCTGTTTTCAATGGGAGAGCACACAACGAAGTCTAATAGCCTTTCTGGTAAGCCATCGGCTCACATTAATGAACCGTCTTCTAGCCTTGGGCCGAGCAAGTTTTGTCCCGTTTCACCGAAGCCTGGCGATAACTCTTTTCACTTCGTGTGAATTAGACGGCGAGGCAAATCTATGCTTTAGCCATTTTCTCTCTGCTGGTCTTTTTCCCATGGAAAAAAACAAGGTTTCATGTCTTTTTTTTTTATCCATACGCATGCATTGGATGTGATTTATCCTTTGAATCAAACCCCACTTGGCTTTACTTTGGTGCTGATGACATTAGAGTATATTTGAAAGGGTGGGGTTTGGGCGTTTGTGCATCTGACTCCTTGCAAAGCCTTATAACTCAAGGGATGGTGTAACAAGGATCACCGTCTGAGCTTCCTTTGTTGGAGGAGTGACAGTCTGCCTCTAAGGTTTAAACCTTGTTTAAATGTCTCTGTTTAGCTGTTTTAATGAGCATATGTGATCTGAGGTCCTAAGCTTAAATAATCTTAAAGCACCTTGTGAATCTCCCAGAGCACAGTGCATCTAATGTCATGATTAAGAGAGTACAATTGCCATGAAAGCCCTGCCAGCCCAGTGTCAGGGTGAGGAAGCGGTCACAGACAGGGTGTGTGAAGAAACTCTCCTTTTACTGCCTTTCTTCTGTCTGCTCAGTCTCAGGATGACATGCAATTCATACCTGGTGTATTCTATAAGCCCTGCTCACTGATACTGAGGTGCAAATCCCCTCAGGCACTGGCCGGGCTCAGTGTATCACAGCCTTTAGAACAGCACAGCATACAGACAGGCAGACACACAGACAGGAAGACGGAGAACAATGCGAGCAATTGTGTAAGGATAGAGTGTGGGAGGCAGGCTACTATCTGGAAAAGAAAGTTGGAGCTCAAAGAGGAAGACAGCTTAGAGAGAGGTTGTGTGGGGGGGGCAGACAGGCAGGTTTGGGTGCGGGTGCTGGATTGCGGTCGGACAGGTGACGGGTTGGCGGGATGGGGCCTTCTTTCTCCACCTATAATTAGATCCTCCGCAGGCAAGGTACGAGTGCTGTAAAACACTATAATCTCTCATTTCCTCTCCCATTCCACCTGCTGTTTTAGGAATACACCATGCAAATAGAGGAACAGAAAGACTCAAAAATGTTATTTTCATCATTATCAATATAGTGGAGTTGGATTGAGAGTGCCTGGTAGGCATGGGGCTATTATTGGTATTGAGGTTTTTAAAAGTTACGGTTTTGGGTCGCAAACAATTTCCATCGTGCCGTCCTTTAAATGAGCTGCCAGAGAAAGTCCCGGAATTATGAAAGTTCTCTCCTCTTATGTGAAGCAGAGCTCTCACCCCCCCTCCCCCATTATGTTGTTGCACACTGCCTGTCAGCTGTTTGAAAGGAGACCACTGCACTTTAACCTGTCTGACAAGAAAGACTAATTCAGGATATTTGGAGAAAGGGAACAAAAAAAAATCTAGGCCTAAAAATGTCAGTTATGGCTTGGATACGTAAGGAGAACCATCCATCGCGGAACCATAATTACTATTAGCAACTTAAAGCTGCATGCTTATGAAGGCAAATATCTGGTGTAACAGGTCCCTCAGGTTTTTTAATTCTAATAAATAATAGAGAAAGAAACTATATTAGTTTAAAAAATATATCAGTCAGTCTTATAAGTTTTCTTTTCCATTAACACTAATAGAAAACGTAACCATATTTCTGTTACTTGAGAAAGAGCAAAACAAGAAAAGGAAACACAATTCTAAATTCACCAGATGTTTTCTATATTTGTTTAACTTCCTGTATTTAAATAAGAATAACAATAAATTAACCTCTATTTCCAACAAGTATTTAAATGACATCGGAGAACCTTTTGGTGGGAGTTAGTGGGATTTAAGGAAGACGGTAACCCAGCCCTCCCGTTGCTGTGCCCTGCCATTCAGCTGGCTGAATGAGGGCTAGTATACTTTCCCTTCTGAAAAGAAAGTTCAATTTGGCTGTTTTGAAACAAGTCTGGGTGTTAAAAAAAATTGTCATCTATCGTTTGGAATATATAGTTTAAGGCCATCCTCCTTTTTGAGTAAGACTTGATGAGTACTTATAAACTAGTATTAACTGAAGTAAGAATATGTTCAATATTTTAGCTATATATCTACAAACAATACTTATTTTTATTTTATATAAAGTGAATTACTGTAATTGATTAACAGTGTTCTGAATAAAGGCTTTTTAATTACTTTATATATCACTTAAAGGTTTAAATTAACACAGATCAATTGTGTCTATACAGTAATACAGTAAGAGTATAACTTCTGTTATTTAACTGAGTTTTTCTGATCATATTGTGATATTTGGAGACTTTCCAAAACCTAAAGCTAAACTGCAAACAGCAGATGAAATGCAGAAAATTCCAGTAGTGAGAGAGGAGAGTATGCCTTTTACTGTGATGAGGAGGGCTTTAACTACTCAACATGTCAAAGGTGATTGGTGAGCGTTTCCCAGAGTAAATCTGCCTCAGTTATTCATCAGCCACTCATGAGCAGACTGAAAGTTCACTATGTACAAAGTTCTTAAACAATTATTTATCATATCCTCAACTACCAATAAGCATAGTAAAAGATGCAAATCACATGTAAATATCGTAGTAGAACGTATGCATTCACCTGCGAGTCAGCAGGAGCATCAACGAGGTCTAGCCTGACTGGTATTACATGCCCAGTGCCGTGCCACTTTTCCACAGTCGTGCCCCTGCCCACTCCTAGGGCGTCAACCGCACAGTTGCTTCTCCTCCTCCGAGTCATCATTTCCAATTAGGTTGGTGTTTTGGAGCCGTCTAAAGCAGCATGCCACCGTGCGCTCTAATGAAAGCGGCTCCCACTCCTATCTTTATATCTTTAGGCAGTGGTAATAAGGTAACTGATTTAGACATTGACAGATGGCCTCTGCTTGCCTCTCAGATGTGCGTAATTATGCCACCAGTGTCTGCTCTTTTCCACAGTGGCAGGCAGTGTGGGGCTCCTCGGAGCAGCAAACTCTGCAGTGGTGTAGCTTTAATATACATTATTATACATTATTAATCATGCCTTTCATGCCAGTCCTACTCCTCTATGTTTTATATATATGCATATATATATATATATATATATATATATATATATATATGTGTGTGTGTGTACATATATCCTGTAATGCATTACCACTGCTTTTTTATTTCTCTGGCTACTGTGGGAAGCTGAAGTAGTGCTTTACCAGGAAATACTTATAGCCATTATTTTACTCAGCCCCACAGGCCAATCCTCTGACCTCCTCACAGCTTGTATCACACAGTGCCTCCCTGTTTATGCTGATTCTTTCGTGCATTATGAAATAGTTGTTGGGGTGAAAGTTATTCACATTTTGTGTCAGGGATCGCTGCCGTGGTCTAAGCTAAGTGAAGGGTTTTACCTTTGAATTTGAAGAGGATTGTCTTATGCAAGGCAAGAAAAGGTATATTTAGCACGCTGGCTCTTATTTGGTTTTATGCTGCTATGATGTGTTTTTGTTTAGCAGTGAAAATATTTGCTGTTTGTGAGAGCAGGAGGTCTCCTGGCTTGACTATTTAAAGCTGCCTTGATTTTTCACCAGTGGGCTGTGGTGCTAAAATGGTATCTCTAATTAGGTAATGTAATGAAAAAACAAACCCGAAAGAAAACATTTAAACAAAGTTTTGGCAAATCTTTGTAAACATTTTCATCAGTGAATGGAAATACTAACAAGAAATCTTGGGTCGTCTTCTTCTTTTTTTTTTTTTTTTTTACTTCCTCTTGTTTATGCCGCAGTAATGAGCTGAAGATCTGCACTTTTCAAGGGTTTTGACAACAACATGTTTCCTTCTCTGCGAGAGAGAAAAATGTGACAGCTAAAACTCTACATAAAATAACTGCCTTTTAGATGTGCTTTTCGCTAAGACTGAGCGAGATAAATGTGCTATACATCAGCAGTGACTGCAGGAAGGGGTCACTCAGAGTTCTCGGCTGCCTGCTGGCTCGCAGCCTGTAGATGGTGCTACAGCACTGCTGGAAAAGCCAAACCAGAGGCCGGTGAAGAGATCAGGTCAGTTACTTCTCCCTAAGAGAAGCCATTCATGGGAACAACTTTGGAGTGAAATCCTCCATTATGTGCACTACAGGAGACAATTGTTTCTTCTTCCTTATCCCCCTTAAAAGATGAAGAGCAGCGCAGTAAATGAGTATTAGCCAGCCAAATTAATCTGCTCAGAACTGGGACAATTTTGATGAAGTGAAAACCAGCTGAAAAATGAAACATTTGCACTTAAAAGCTGATTTTGAGATTTCCTGTCAATTGACTGATTTAAATATTAAAGTCAGAATTAATATTGTAACATATTTGAAAGCTCATCTGTCAAGAATTAGACTAAAGAGAAACCTGTACCCCTTCTGTGGGTGTTTGTCTAACACTGCCAGGTAGCAAGTGGTTTGGACTCTATTTGACAGCCTGTGAAATGCTGATTGTCTCACATCATACTCTTTTAAGATAACATGTGATGAATGTTTGATGCCACACAGCTGTAAACACGCCTGGCAGCTACAGCAGCGCTGAAAGACTCACCGGCTCCCCAGATGAGGGCAGGACACGGTCAGATCAGGCTGCAAAGGTCTCCGGAGACCACCTGTGTAGAGTCGCCTGCGGTCGGGTCTATTAGGCAGAACAGGACTCCAGGCTGAGTTCAAGGCCATAGTCAGAGTTGTCATAATAGTCCTTGTTAACACAGCCTGAAATTGAGAATTTTTTTGTTTTTTTGAGTGTTGGATCTGTGTCTTGTGGTCTGCTGCATTGCAGTGTGGTCGAGCCTTTCGGTGAGAACAGCAAGAGGACAGCAAGCCTGTGAATTGTCTCCTTGTTTCCGCTTTGTGTCTGTTTTCTCTCTGTTTGGAAAAGTTTGAAGGCCTTAGAGTAGTGAGTTCGTTCAGTCTCTGGGGGTTATGCTCTTCTTTGTCATGGCTGTGGGAGTTTTC